GCCAGTAGATCTTATGCTCGGGAAAACGGACAACGGGTGGTTTGAAGCAAAATGGATAGCTCTTGTTCAACGAACAAGACTGAAATCCAACTGAAACAACGAAAAAATACTTCGGTATAGCGCTAATGAAAGAGCCAATGACCACGACTACTACCCACCCCACCCATGTCTTCAGTGACGATCTCGAGATATTCAGGAGCTGTGAAACTGACGAGCAAATCAGACGGTAGCGGTCCACGGTAACAAGAACGCACATCCAAATTGGTAGAAGAGCGAGCCAGTTGTTGAGTGACCAAAGCACTCGTGTATGTTTTGCAATAAAGGGAAGGGTCCCTGGTATTAGCTCAATGTAGCAGAATATGGACGGGATGCTGATAAAGAAAGTTTGTGAAAGGAGATACAAATTATCAGCAACTGCCAAGCAACTGAGCAAAAAAGTCGATGAATTTTTGCCCTTTAAATTCTGAAACACGACAAAAGACATCGTGTTCAAAATGAGACCAACCACAGCTATGAAGAAAGCCAAAACTCCACCAACAAAATGAACAAGCACTTTGTAATCTACATTGTCATCCAATCCCCCCTCTACCCCAGTATTATTTGACCTGATATTTGGAAAATCTACCGTCGACTCAGTCTCATTCATATTTTAAACCTGTCCTGCTTACCTCTGTGTCTCAGCTAACCCCAGGTGCTCGTTCATGTACAAGAAGCAACTAAACTAAATTTGAAATCATCAAGCTTATATGGACGTCCATACAACGTCTTCATTATACAGTACGCCTTAGGTGTCGTCGAGCAATCTTGCCTAAATAGTCATTTTGGCTTTTAATAAAGATAATTATTATGTGCTACATATTACCGACATGCTGTCATTTAACTGAATTTCTTCGTCTCAAAAAGCGCCTTACTGTTTGTATAATTTATATTGCTGACATTAATTGTACAGTACAGGGGCGCGTCTCAGACAAAGGTTTCCAGTTTCGACATTTCCTGTATGTAGGCTAATGACGATGCTAAGTATTTCCAAGAAGAGAAAATAACCCATGATTTTTTGATGTATAATAATCCTCTTTACATTGATCTTATCGCCTCTAACAACACAAAAACAAGAAAGAGAATGCTAAGAACAAATTTTCAACAAACAAATGCAAACTAGCTCTTATCTATAGCAAAAAACATTTGCTAGGAGAAATCTCTTCAACAAAGTTACTTTCAGGTAAAGAAAAAAAAAACAAACTGCCTCTTAAGTATATTTGTTATGACAGCCACTTTCGTGACATTGTGGAATTTAGTCACGTTACACGAGCATGTGATCAAATTGTGTATGTCTTACGTCGTTGGTTTTTCTTCAATTGCAAGTTGACTGGGTATTTTCAAACACAAACAAATAATGCACAATATACGTGCTCTACAGGGATATAAACCTACACAACAATATTCAAGTGGCAGTGCCAAGTAAGTATTCCATGAATCACACATCAGCGTTATCCTCTGCCAGGGCCGCGGTTATTATCATGTGGGCTGAGGCGAGTACGGAGAATAACCATGAATTTAACCAGAGACATATCTATGAATATCTAGTGAAAAATCAATCTGTGGCCCTGGTAGAGGATACATGTCATATACTAATTATACATAAGGGACAATTTTGGGAGAATTGTGTTCTAATTTTAATTTAATTAAACACTGGAAAAGAGATGCTGGATTAAGCCTGCACAATTGCATTTCAATACACTGGAAATTCTTTTTCTATTAACGGGCCTAAATTAATAAATTACACAAAATGAAAGGATACATAATTGTCTTCACAGTATATATGAAAGTGGCGAATTTAGAGGGGTGTGAGGGGGGTTCTGACTACCCCACTTCGATTCTTGAAAAAAAAAACATTATATGAATAATCCCCTCTTGAAATTAGAATGTTGACTAGCTGAATTATAGTTCTAAACCGTACCAAATGACACCTTTCGCCCCATAAAATAACAATATTTTGGCCATTCTGAGGGCCCGAATCCGGCCAGTAGGAGGGGGGGGGGGCGGCGGCGGTCGGCCTTGCATCCGCGGACCCCCCTTCAAATATTCCTGGATCCTCCCCTGTATACACAATATTTATTGTGAACAATATATCTCATCTTTACGGTTAATAAACATAAATCATCAGTAATAAAATGGTTGTTCATTGCCGCGTTTTTCCTGCGATTAGCCTTGTGAGGTGTCATAATAATGACAGTCAAAAAAATATAATTCTGTAAAGGCCCTATGACAACGGACTTCGCGTCCTCTTTATGTTTTCTTTAAATTTCAGTGCTCATTTCAACATTCCATTCAAATCAGTTGCACAACTTCATTCTTTGAATATCGCTCCCCCAGTCAAATACCTATTGTTACGACTTCAAATAAAATTTTTTCTTGCTCAGTGTTTTATCTTTTATTAAAAGGTCGTTAACGGTTATAATAATAATAATAATAATAATAATTTATTAAGATTGCAACCCAGTGGGTTGAAGTTGTACATAGAATGTTAAAAAAAAAAATTATAATGATAATAAAATGAAAGTTTGCATGAATAAAACTGAGTTAAAAGACTGCTAACTGAACTTTAAAATTATTGTACTTAGACTGCTAACTGAACTTTAAAATTATTGTACTTAAGATAAAAGACAGCATAATACTATTGGAAATTTAAAAGTGCATATGGAATAAAAGAGCAGCGGAATCTGTCGGTCTTAAATTTTGGCACTTTGTATCTATTGTTAGATCTTAAAAGACGATTGGAATGCTCAATTAAGACGTGATTCAATTTGTCAGAGGATTCAGTTATTTTGTAAAAGAAAGTTTTGCACAGATCTTACCTTCGTTTTACTAAAGTGCACATATTTGCTAGGTTCAGGGCTTCATCATAGTGTAGGTCAGGGAAAATGATTTTTAAAGCACGACTTTGGACAGTCTCTAAAAGTTTGCATTGCTCTATAGTTAGTCCTGGATGCCATACATATTCTAGAATTGAGCGCACAATACTTTGGTAAACTTGGATTAAGTCAGCAGGGCTGAGCTTAGCTCGCTTCAGTTGACGGAGGAAATAGAGTCTTGCACAAGCCTTTTTATATATATGATCCACATGAGTACCCCATTTTAGGTCATTGCTAATATGAATGCCCAGAAGTTTGAACTATTCAAAGTAGGATTGAAATATTCAAAGTAGGATCTACATTTTGGTCATTCTTAATTTGATTCAAATAACTCACTTTATTTCACTTCAATTTCTTGTGTAAATAGTAGGGTTTATTCAAAGTTGTAATTTTCTTTCTCTTGATTAAAGCATTCATCAGAAAGCGTCGTTACTTTTTAGCTTAAATTCTGAGTGTTTGTTTTATCTGGGTGTATGCACCTACAGCAACACATTGATTTTAGAGTACGTCGAAACGTTTCACCAAACAATCCATAAATGAAAAAATTCACAGAAGAGTTTAGCACTGCTAAGAGGTTTACCACTTGGAAAGATAGCGGTATATTCCTTTTAATATTCTGTGGCAATGCTTCCGGATAGAAGCCAATAGCAAAAGAGCAAGAATACACCAGATGGAAAACTAGAGAAGAGACGGCAATCAAAATAGCTATTTTTGTCATTTCTTTGTGAATGGACAATTTTTGCACGGAAAGCGCTACACGGCGTTTAGATAGTTCACGCAATGTGCGTATTATACGTCCATTGCATATCGTCATAAATGAAAAAGGAAAAAGAAAATAAAAAAGAGCGTGAAAAGCAAGATAAGTGATCCTTTGCTCAGGAAAACGGACAACGGGTGGTTTGAAGCAAAATGGATAGGTCTTGTCCAACGAACACGACTGAAATCCAATTGAAACAACGGAGAAATACTTCGGTATAGTGCTAATGAAAGAGCCAATGACCAGGGCTACTACCCACCCAACCCATGACTTCAGTTACGATCTCGATATATTCAGCAGCTGTGAAACTGAATCAGACGGTAGCGGTCCACGGTAACAAGAACGCACATCCAAATCGGTATAAGTCCGAGCCAGTAGTTGAGTGACCAAAGCACTCGTGTATGTTTCGCAATAAGGGGAAGGGTCCCGGGTATTAGCTCAATGTAGGAGAATATGGACGGGATGCTGACAAAGAAAGTTTGTGAAAGGAGATAGATATTATCAGCAACTGCCAAGCAACTGAGCAAAAAGGTCGATGAATTCTGGATCTTAAAATTTCGAAACACGACAAAAGACATCGTGTTCAAAATGAGACCAACCACAGCAACGAAGAAAGCCAAAACCCCACCAACTAAATGTACATGAACTTTGAAATCTACATTATCATCCAATCCCCCCTCTACCCCAGTATTATTTGACCTGATATTTGGAAAATCAACCGTCGACTCAGTCTCATTCATATTTTTAATCTGTCCTGCTTACCTCCGTGTCTCAGCTAACCCCAGGTGCTCGTTCATGTACAAGAAGCAACTAAACTAAATTTGAAATTATCATGCTTATATGGACGTCCATTCAACCAATTCATATTTACGTCTTAGATGTCGTCCAGCAATCTTACCAAAATCGTCATTTGGCTTTTAATAAGGGAAATTATTATGGGCTACATATAATCCAGTCATGGTGTCATTTCACAAAATTTGTTTGTCTCAAAAGTCGCCTTACTTCTTATATAATAACGCTGACGTTATTTGTAACAGAGGAAGATCTAGAAGATTAAAAGCTATGAAAGAGCATTGGAACTATGGAAAATTTATACTTCACACCAGTACAGACGCGCGTCTCAGACAAAAGTTTCAAGTTTCAAGATTTCCTCTGTGTAGTTCTAATGACGATACTAAGTCTGTCCAAGAAAATAACCCACGATTAGTTACTGTATAATAATCCACATTACGTAGATCCTTCTCGCCTCTAACAACACAAAAACAAGAAAGAGAATGTTAAGAACAACTTTTCAACAAACAAATGCAAACTAGCTCTTATCTGGTGCAAGAATGAAGTACGTTTAAAAATTCCTGCTGAAAAACTTTTGGTTTGGCCTGATACCATGTACACATCCTTTATTCTATCACAGAGCTAGGAGAAATATTCTCTACAAAGTTGCTTTCAGGTTAATAAAAAAAAAACAGCCACTTTCTTGACGTTGTGAAATTTAGTCACGTTACACAAGCACGTGATCAAATTGTGTACGTTATACGTCGCTGCTTTTTGCTTTTTCTTCAAATTGCAAGTTGACTGAGTATTTTTAAACACAAACAAATCATGCACAATACACGTGTTCCACAGGGATATAGACCTACACGACAATATTCAAGTGGCAGTGCCAAGTAAGTGTTCCATGAATCACACATCAGCATTATCCTCTACCAGGGCCGCGGTTATTATTATGTGGACATTGAATATCTAGTGAAAAATCAATATGTGGCCCTGGTAGAGGGTACATCAGCGCATGTCATATACTAATTATACATAAGGGACAATTTTGGGAGAATTATATTTATGTAGTCAAATGTTCACAAGCACAACGAAGCTCTGTTTTTGCTCCAAATCAAGTAAGATAAGTCCATATTACTGAAATTGTCATTTATTAATGACGAAAACTAAAAAGATACAAAGTTACAAAACTGGGGAGATAATAAACATCCCCCAAACTATATAAGTGCTAAATATAAAAATAATAAAGTAAGTTAATGAAATGTAACCAGGATTAATTATGAAAAATATGAGAAATCACAACAGCTATAGGAGCAAAAAGTTGGCGCAAATGAAAATAAAGGCGGGGATGTGAGCTTGTCTCACATCATATGGCCTTTTATAGCTGTTGTGATTTCTCATATTTTTCATAATTAATCATAATAATATAATGAATAACAGTTGAAGTAGATTATACCTCATATGTCCCCTGCCCTAGTCAATAAAATATTAATGAATGGAAAATAATAACTTATTATTATTATTATTAAAAATTTTCCTTTGGTATTAGGAACAAAGAGAAGTAAAAGGCAACTGAAACCTGTGGCAGTACCATCTTTGTTTTCTTGGCAGAAAGAAGAATCTCAGGCTGCCAAGAACAGGTCAAACAGAGCAAGAAGGCGTAGTGATCGCGGTGAGCAACCCCAACCCAATCCTGAAGTTGTATTTGAAGGTGTTGATGTGACAGAGGAAATTATTGAGGTAGACACTCCAGATATTGTGCTGGAAGCTACTAGTGCACCAACCACCCTAGGTGACAGTTCCACACAGACTCCCTTCTACCCTAAACTTTCTATTGAGGAGCTGAGCACCAATGATAAAATGCTAAACTATTACACAGGATTGCAGAATCATGAACATTTTGTCTATGTTTTATCAACACTAGGCCCTGCTGCCTACCACTTAAATTATAGGTGGCGAAAACCTATCAATATTTCAGTTGAAAATCAGTTACTATTGACTTTAGTTAAACTTCGCTTACATTCTCCAAACAAAGAAGTTGGATTTTTATTTGGCATATCAGAATTTTGTGTGAGCAATATCTTTGTCACGTGGGTCAATTTCATGTATTTTGAGTGGCAAAAACTTGACATCTGGCCTGTCAAAGAACTTGTTGACTTTTATATGCCTCAGGACTTCAAAGATAAGTTCCCTACCACTAGAGTCATTATAGATGGAGTTGAAATGCCCATCAAGAAACCCAGCAAGCCTGTTGCCCAGCAAGTAACTTTTTCTACGTACAAAAACAAGAACACCATCAAGACTATCGTTGGTGTGACTCCTGGTGGGATGGTTTCACACATTCCCCCTGCCTATGGTGGCTCTGCAAGTGACCGTTTGTTAATAGAGCGAGACAACATCCATGTCAAATGCCAGCGTGGGGATTCTGTGATGGCAGATAAAGGATTTGATATACAGGACATTTATGCTCCTTATGGTGTATTAGTGAATACTCCAACTTTTTTCCGAAATAAGAACCAGTTATCAGGAACTGAAATTCTCCACGATAGAAAAATTGCCAGTAAACGTGTTCATGTTGAGAGACTGATTGGTCTGGCCAAAACTTATAATATAATGAAGACCCCATTAAATGACACTGAAACTGCATTGGGCACACAGATAGTGTTTGTGTGTTTTATGCTTGTAAACTTCAGAAACTGCATTGTACCCAAAACAGCATAGCCTGTGTAAATTGCAAGATGTGATTGATAATATGAACAAAAGTTTATTTCCTACAAACATTTAATTCATTAAACATGCAAATATTTCTCAGATGCAAACAAACATAGCTTTTATTGTACACATAATTGAATATCAAGGTGCATCTGCAGAGCAATACAAAGGAGTGAATTTGAAAACCTTCAAAGGCTACCATTTTCCATTATCACATGAATACAGTGCATGAAATTAAGATATTATCTGCTTAGACATAAGGTAAATGGTACGATTTTAAACTTGGCATTATTTGTATATATTCTGAAAGCATTAATAATAACTGCATCATTATATGTACTTGGTGATACAAGCATTTTCTTTGTTAATGTGCTTCTTAACATTTAGAGGGGACAAAGGCACAACACATTTCAATAACTTTCATGATACAGGTACCTTTCCAAATAAACTCTTCTGAAATGCTTAACAAAAAAATCATCTAATTTTTTTAACATTTCCTCTACCATCACTATGTCATAAGTGATACTAATTATTTTAATGTCTTTGAGGGTAAATACTGCAAAGTCACACTTTTTTGTCTTTGTTATGTGCATTGCACCTTGCACCTGATACATATAGTCATGGTTTTTCTTTAATTTCAACTGGCCATTGTTGTCATATTCTAAGTAGGGCACTGTGACTGGGGATATGATTTGCTCTTTACTTGAATAAGGACACTTCACTTCTAATATCTTGTCGACGCTCACAATACCATCCGGAGAGGCAGCAAGATATGGACGAGATGCATCAACCCATAATCCAGTTTTCTGAACAGTCACCCCGGAAATTTTCTCATATTCACGTACTGCTTTGAACTCATAACGTTGTCCATGGCGAATGGGTTTGGTATTCAACTGTTTTACAGATTGAAGTTCTTTGGCAGCTTTGCCAGGGTCTGCCTTCTTCATTTTACAAATTTTCCCAAAGTTTGAAGAAGTAATTCTTTTACAGCGCTCGGAATACCAAATTTTGTTTGTGTTTTGTCCCATAGTTGCTGTCTTCACTTTCTGCATTTCAGTGGCATTGATTGCGGTAATGTTTTCAGATTCAAGAAATTGATCTTCTGGTGATAGTTTATTGTAATCATGGTCTGAGTAAACAGCCCTGAGATTTGCAGGAGGGAATAATTGAAGGATAGCAGGATTGGCAGATGTGTTGGCAGCAAAGTTGATGGAAGCATTGGCTACTCTTGAGTAAACAGCCGAAGGTGTTTCATTGAACTGTTCTGGAATGGGGTTAAATATTAATTTGGAATTGTTAGACCTGGATGGCACATTGGCTGTCTTGATGGGAGAACCATAGTGAATTTTCTTTGGGCGATGAAAAGACTGCAACTCTGCAGTACATGTCGTTTCCAAGACCATTTTATTTCCATTGCTGCAGTCCAAAATTGCTAGCATGCATGCCCTTACATGCTTACAGTGTGCTGACGGCCCTTCCCCTGCTTTGCACTCACACTGGCTTTCTAAAAAATATCCATCTTGCTCCAGCTTGATATCTATGGTGTAAGTAACTGCTCTACGCATCTTTGCACGACACTGAGCTCGCACAAAAATAAATGATTCAGTTTTGCAAAACCGAATAAATCTGATGAATCTGGAATATAATATAATATAATATAATTTTTCTTTCTTCTAAGATTGCAACCCACTCCGATCTCTAGCCCAAAATAGTATTACAAAATTTAGAGAGTCCTCTGTACCTGAGATAACTTAAGGTAAAAAAGCAGACTATTTCTTAAGATTATAAATTAATACTGAAACAACATACCTGTCCTTGTACATATCCATTGCTAGTTTGTTGAGACTTGTCCCTAGGGGCAGAAGGAACTGATCAACAAACTCTTGGCTTGTTTTGATCACTGAACCTGCCACGTCTTTGTACAACTTATCATCTGGTCTTAGCATTTGGTACTCCCTCTTTGACTCCTCTTGGCCAGTCAAGCACATTCTGTCATATGCAACTAAGCTAAAATAAAATAAAAATATACAAAAACATTATTATTTTAGGACACTTAACTTCCATAAATATATAAAGACGATTTCACAGATACAGGGTACAAGTATGTTAATTGTTTTAGATTTAAATTTATTCATGATTTCAGTATTTAAAAAAATGCATATCAAGAACATAATTTTCTTATTTTTAATATTAATGACTGCATGTTTACCAAGCTCACCCAAAAGCTACGCACACATTTCCGCCATTAATTCAACAAATTACGACACGAAAAGGTCTTCTCACAAACTACAATAATAAACAACTAACGAAATTCTGAAATTCGCATACTTTTCGACTTTCTCCTCAAATATCTGCTTCGGGAGTAATACTAGTATATCTATTAGTAATACTAACAGTAAATTACAAAATTCAATGAGATTGAGTGCTACACGAAAAGCGCTTGAAAGCGAAACGCTCACTCACCGGTCTATTAAATCTTTTTTCCTGCCACTGACCCGTGCTCTTCTTCTTCTCAGTTCTTCTTTCAGTTTCTTTAACGGCCATTCATCATATGTAGTCATTTTTGCGGTACAAAAGAGAAAAAACTAATCATAAATCGCGATGACACAATCGTATTGCCCACGCTATAAACAGGAAGTTCAATTTCCTGTGCTGGTGCGGTTGTGGCGACGCGTAGCGGGGATATCTGCACGGTCTCTCATTNTCTGGAATGGGGTTAAATATTAATTTGGAATTGTTAGACCTGGATGGCACATTGGCTGTCTTGATGGGAGAACCATAGTGAATTTTCTTTGGGCGATGAAAAGACTGCAACTCTGCAGTACATGTCGTTTCCAAGACCATTTTATTTCCATTGCTGCAGTCCAAAATTGCTAGCATGCATGCCCTTACATGCTTACAGTGTGCTGACGGCCCTTCCCCTGCTTTGCACTCACACTGGCTTTCTAAAAAATATCCATCTTGCTCCAGCTTGATATCTATGGTGTAAGTAACTGCTCTACGCATCTTTGCACGACACTGAGCTCGCACAAAAATAAATGATTCAGTTTTGCAAAACCGAATAAATCTGATGAATCTGGAATATAATATAATATAATATAATTTTTCTTTCTTCTAAGATTGCAACCCACTCCGATCTCTAGCCCAAAATAATATTACAAAATTTAGAGAGTCCTCTGTACCTGAGATAACTTAAGGTAAAAAAGCAGACTATTTCTTAAGATTATAAATTAATACTGAAACAACATACCTGTCCTTGTACATATCCATTGCTAGTTTGTTGAGACTAGTCCCTAGGGGCAGAAGGAACTGATCAACAAACTCTTGGCTTGTTTTGATCACTGAACCTGCCACGTCTTTGTACAACTTATCATCTGGTCTTAGCATTTGGTACTCCCTCCTTGACTCCTCTTGGCCAGTCAAGCACATTCTGTCATATGCAACTAAGCTAAAATAAAATAAAAATATACAAAAACATTATTATTTTAGGACACTTAACTTCCATAAATATATAAAGACGATTTCACAGATACAGGGTACAAGCATGTTAATTGTTTTAGATTTAAATTTATTCATGATTTCAGTATTTAAAAAAAATGCATATCAAGAACATAATTTTCTTATTTTTAATATTAATGACTGCATGTTTACCAAGCTCACCCAAAAGCTACGCACACATTTCCGCCATTAATTCAACAAATTACGACACGAAAAGGTCTTCTCACGGGCGAAAAAAAAAACTACAATAATAAACAACTAACGAAATTCTGAAATTCGCATACTCTTCGACTTTCTCCTCAAATATCTGCTTCGGGAGTAATACTAGTATATCTATTAGTAATACTAACAGTAATTTACAAAATTCAATGAGATTGAGTGCTACACGAAAAGCGCTTGAAAGCGAAACGCTCACTCACCGGTCTATTAAATCTTTTTTCCTGCCACTGACCCGTGCTCTTCTTCTTCTCAGTTCTTCTTTCAGTTTCTTTAACGGCCATTCATCATATTTAGTCATTTTTGCGGTACAAAAGAGAAAAAACTAATCATAAATCGCGATGACACAATCGTATTGCCCACGCTATAAACAGGAAGTTCAATTTCCTGTGCTGGTGCGGTTGTGGCGACGCGTAGCGGGGATATCTGCACGGTCTCTCATTAGGACTAATACTATTCAGGCACAATATTTTGTGTACTCAGTATAAAAGCCATTATTTATGGCACTGGATTGTGATACATTATATATAACTGCATGTGAAACGTTTTCTGATCATCTAGGAAACGGCCTAGCAGCTCATTATATGTGTTATTGAGGCTATTATCCAACACAGCAGTAAGCTAACAAAGGTGATAATAATTGCTTGTGAATGTAGTGACAGTATCCTGTTATAATGCCTGTATCAAGGTACTGAATTAGGTAATATAGTATCATAGCATCAAGCATAAGCCAATAGTTCAAGTTTCAGTCTAAAGGGCACAAGACACTCAAGAAAGGATAATCTTGTTTTTCTTGGAATCCCCCGACAATGTTCTAGTTCTCACTCAGACCATTTTTGCTTAACTCAGTTTCAAAAAGGGTAATGTCTTAAAAATGGTTAAAATCTCTCTCTCAGTCTGGCTCTCTCTCTTTACAAAGACTGGTCCATTATCTCAGTGGTACATTACCCCACTAGGTACTAAGAGCTGATTCGTGTTGAAAAACGTAATGTAATATATATATAATGCCTTCAGGGTTAGAAAGTATCATTTTCTGAAATGTTACTAATGATGGTCCCTAGAATTGCACGTAACTGCATAAAACAAACTGTAAAAAGTGTGCTGGAACCCCAATAGGGGAATTGTGTTTTCCTTATGTAAATTCATATAGTCATATGACAAAAAGACATTATACAGCTTACCTAGCAATTTATCTACTTGTCATATCTCTACACCAAAGAAGGGACTTCGCCTTAGTATAATTACAATTCTTTCCCATTACATTCTTACATATCTATTATATGGCATACAGAAATCACACCAAATGATGCTAAGATAATTTATTAAAACAAAGACCGTTTGTGCTTTTAGCTTGCATTCTTTAACCATAAGTAAATTACAAATCACCCCAGAGGAGACAATGAAGCACTCCAAGATCAATTTTCAGAAGCGAGCAATTCAGACTGAGCAAATTCTAATCTTTACCAAGATACGCAATCTTGGGAATAAAAAGTGACAGTTTCAGTAATAGTCTGCAAAAAGCCTGTAGAACCACATAATCTGATCTTTCTCCTGTGGCATTTGCAAAAATTAGGTAGGGGCTCTTCATACATGTGCCCACATGTGTGGATAAAAGACCTGCAAGTCTTGTAAACTGAATAGGTTTTTAATTGAACACTGGATGAATGTGCAATGCATAACACCTCCCTGAAGATACTGTTGAAACCCATAGGTGTGAAAAAGTGACTTTTTTTTTCTCTTTAAAATTTAATGTTATGATGTTTGGTTTGACTTACAAGAATATTAGAGTCAAAGGTGATATTGTTGCATGTCAGAGTTGTAAGATGTGACACCGTGTTACTAATGATGTGAAATTGTGCATGTGTGTGTCAGATGTGATATTTTGTTACATCTGTTGTGATAGTGTGTGTGTGTGTGTGTGTGTGTATGTGTGTGTGTGTGTCAGATGTGATATAGTGTGAAAAGTGCCACGGTATGTGACATGCAATTGTGTAAGATGTGACAGTGTGTCAAGTGTGAAGTGGTTGTGCATTGTGGTTGGTGTGCCATTGTGCTAGGTGTGACAAGGTTTTAACTGTCACATTCCATTAGAAGTGACATTGTGTTGGATGTGACATTGTGTTGGATGTGGCAATGTGTTCAGTGTACCATTGTATAAAAAGTTTGATGGTGCTCTGGCTATGAAGGCTTAAACTATGAGTCTGTAAAAGTTTATTGCAGCTACAAAATTAAGAAATAATGCATCGTAGTCACAAAAAAGTGACTCCTACTAATGTATGAGAAAGCCTAAGAGTGTAAGTTGTGGTAGGGTGGCACTTCAGAATTTTACTTCTGTTTGGTCCAAGCAAAATCAAGTCAGTTAATTGACTTTGGTATATTATTTAGCACAGTGCTGCATAAAGATTACTTCTTATGTAAAAGTAAGGCTATCAAATGGTCAATTTCTCAAGACAGTACAATACAAAAAAATGGACAGAAATGGTGCAAAGTCTGCATAAACACATGAGTATTTCAAAAGCACTAATTGACACATTTCTCACAATGACATATAGCTGTGTTTTAACAGCAGGGAGATCATATATATATATATATATGTAAAAACACTTTACTTACAGCAGCTGTTTGATGTGCATCTGACAGTGTCTCATGGTGGACTCTTTGGTCTGTCATGGACTCCAAGTCCACCCAGTACTTGTTGAACTCTTGGTCATCATCACTAAACTTGGAATAGTAGTATGTGTGGTCATCCTGAAAAGATATTGTTATATATAATACTAAGATAAATTTAAATCTTTATAAATCATAGCCATAGTGTACACCTTGTATTCTTATCAGTATTTCGNACTTAATCCTGGTTACATTTCATTAACTTACTTTATTATTTTTATATTTAGCACTTATATAGTTTGGGGGATGTTTATTATCTCCCCAGTTTTGTAACTTTGTATCTTTGGCCTTTTATTTTCATTTGCGCCAACTTTTTGCTCCTATAGCTGTTGTGATTTCTCATATTTTTCATAATTAATCCTGGTTACATTTCATTAACTTACTTTATTATTTTTATATTTAGCACTTATATAGTTTGGGGGATGTTTATTATCTCCCCAGTTTTGTAACTTTGTATCTTTTTAGTTTTCGTCATTAATAAATGACAATTTCAGTCACCCCTTATTCTATCACATGTGCACGGCTAGGTGAAACAACAAAGTTGTATTCAGGTTCCAAAAATAAATAAATAAATAAAATAGAACAAAAAAGGCTCATTTGGACTTACCTCTCAAGTATATTACAAACTTGACATTCAATATAGTCTATTATTTATCTAAATCTTTTTTTTCTGTTTTTTCCTGTTTTACTGACTGATAAATGAACATATTATTATTAAATTATCTCTTTGATATCTGTAAACTCTATATTGACTAGTTGAGCGGTACAGGTGAAATTTGACCTCAATAAAGAAATGCTGTTTCTGTGTTTTACCCAGAAACGGTCACTTTCCCTTCTTCATTGGAGAAACAGACCACGATATGTTGCGGTTTACAGTGGCTTCTAGTATCCTTATCTGCTAAAACCAGTTTGGTGTTCACTAAGGGCCTTGAAAAACACGTTCTGGTGGCAATTTGCCCCTCATTCTGAAAGGACTGGGTGGTTTTTGTTAAGTTGCAGCAGCATATCCGGAAGGACAGTGAGTCTTGTAACCTGGTGGTAAGATTTCGATACATTGGGAGTGGCCTCTGTGTAGGTAGATCAGTCTGGGCATTCACATGTACATCTATAGACCTTTTTCATCTTTTCCGGAAATGGAAATTGCATTGTGGGTAGGGGAGTCCTGCTATGTCGAAACACTTACAGCGGTGCTAAAAACCATGGCTGGGTTTACGTGCTTTTTGTCCCGCTGCTACA